ATCGAATAGTACAGTCGCAGAGAAAGTCACGCGAGTTCGGAATAAAAGGCCTAAAAGACGTTAACGCCAAGACAAAGATTTTTTCTTAAGTCCGTCACTTCACCGATTCCTGACTCCAGAATTTATAATTCGACCAACGCGCATCATAAATCACCAAAGTGGTAACGCCGACGTGTCATAACGCGATTTTTTATTTGACATTTTTTAAAATTTTGACGAAGTGCCTGCCGAGGCGCGGGTTGAACTCAGTGCGCGGACAATTGCGTGACACAAGAAACAATGTTAGTATCTCGCGACAGAAACACGACTCCCCAACCGTTGGAGCAGCAGCTAGTGCAACCGGTGCAAAATGAGCGAGCGCCCGAGCAGCAATTCCAGCCGAGACCGGCGATCATCGAGGCTGATTTTTTCACACCGGGTGCAGAGGTGAGCCGCGTAGGCATGCGAATGCCGGAATTTACGCCCGCGGATCCGGAACTATGGTTTAGCATAGTCGACCGTAGTTTCCAAGCGGCCGGAATCACCGTCGATGCGACGAAGTTCGGTTACGCGCTTACTGCAATCGGCCCGCGGTATACTGTGGAAGTGCGCGACGTCATCATGAATCCGCCGGCGGAAAACGCGTACGAGACGTTAAAAGCGGAATTGATCAAACGGCTTAGTCTCTCTCAGGAGCATAAAACCCGAAGGCTCCTAGAACACGAGGAAATCGGGGATCGAAAACCCTCACAATTTCTAAGGCATCTCCGAAGCCTTGCTGGAAGCGTAGTCGGGGATGGCGTGTTACGCACAATTTGGTTGTCTCGATTGCCCGCGTACATCCAGCCACATTTAGTAACGCGAACTAGAGATGCTGTCGACCAGCTGGCGGACATAGCTGACGCGATCGTGGAGGCCACTCGAGCGCCTGCGTTTCAAGTCGCGGAGACCGCGCGACCCGCAGCACCGCAGACTATGAATCCGGAAGTGGCTGCGACTGAGGCAAAATTCAGCCTACAAATCGCGCAGTTGCGCTTATCGATGCAGCAGGAGATGGCTGAGCAGTTGACAGCGATTCGAAAATCGATCGAGGCGTTGCATGACACGCGACACGATGAAAATCGTTATGGGAGAGATCGTCGCCGTGACAATCGTCGACCGCATCAGCGTCCGCGTTCGCGTTCGCGGAGCCGTGGTCACCCGTCGAACGGCCTGTGCTGGTACCATTGGCGATTTGGTCCAGAGGCTACTCGGTGCGACGCGCCCTGCTCCGCGCAGCAGTCGGGAAACGCGACGGCCCTTCGTTGATGGCGACGGAAGACGGAGGCCATCAAACGCGTCGCCTTTTCGTGACGGACATAGATACAAAAATTAATTTTCTTATCGACACGGGCGCGGATCTCTGCGTGTATCCCCGGAGGATGGTTCGCGGACCACGACAGAGATCGTCCTACGAATTATCCGCAGCAAATGACACCGTAATTCATACATACGGAACAGAAACTTT